ATCGGAATGAAGTATCAACCGAAAAATTGTTAATGAATAAAATAGAGAAACAGAAAGTGCGGATTAAGTTGCTCTCAGTTTTGAGAATATAGGTAACAGATCGTTAAAGCGGAAGATCAAGGAGGTCTGGCGGTGGAATTACATTTTTTAATTATGGCCGGAGCAAGTTCATAATTGGTGCTCACTACGCGGGGGATGAAACTTATTAGTCGGCAAGGCTTTACCGTCCTGGGGGATGTAACATGGCCGGCTTGTGGAAGGATATCGCCTTGCCACTTCCAGGGACGCATTCGTACAGGGGTGCAAATCTACACAACATTCGTTTCTTTTCCTAACTTTTTTACGCTCACACTATTAACTTGAGACGTTGATGAAATTTTATCTTGAAAAGTATTTCAGATTCTGTTTATTTCTCGGCCTCTTATGTCTTGTTCATTTAACAGTTATTCTTAAACTAATGTTATCAGAAATATAAATCAATACGATACAAAAGTAACAAATTATATTCCATCGTTTTAAAATACTCTTTAACAGCGTTGATAACCAAAAGCGTTGATGGCGCGCGACCATAAACATTCTCCTGTTTAAATTACCACGGCTGTCTGCTTAGCGTTAATAAAGGTTCCAAGATACGTTGAAAAATGATCGTAAGTTGGTGGCGAGACAGATCGAGGAAGAAGGAAAAGGGTAGCACGTCCCTGACACTAATCTCGAGTTAGGTGGCTACATTTTCTCGTAGAAGCTGAATATACAGACCTCCGCTTCTGCACCTATATGAACACACAAACGAGTGTATTTCTAAAACATTCAACTCGTCCGACCGTATTCTATTTTGCACTTACGTTCATTAATAACGTTGTAACAATTGATCTCGGACGGCAACACGGATGACACGTGTTTGTCTAGCATACCAGAAACTGGTTTTCAAATTAAACCCGCGTTGCTTTCTGATATATCAAACTTGCTGTATAGGTGCTAATTTTACTCATTAACGCTAGCCAACTTGCAGGGGAACCTAAGTGTTCCTCTTCGATTTCGATGAAACTAAGCAGGGAAATGGGGTTTTATATTCTATTATGTGCGAGAATTTTTCTTTGTATTGCTACTGTGAACACCGGTAGCAAGTCTGAAATATACTATGCGTAGTAATTCCACGCGTAGTAATTCCACGCGTGGTAATTCCATGCGTTGTAATTCTACGCGTGGTATTTCCATGCGTTGTAATTCTACGCGTAGTAATTCCATGCGTTGTAATTCTACGCGTAGTAATTCCACGCGTGGTAATTCCATGCGTTGTAATTCCACACGTGGTAATTCCACGCATAGGGATTCCACACGTAGTAATTCCACGCGTAATATTTCTACGCGTAGTAATTCCACGCGCCGTTATTCTACGCGTAGTAATTCCACGCGTGGTGATTCCATGCGTTGTAATTCCACACGTGGTAATTCCACGCGCGGTAATTCCATGCGTTGTAATTCCACACGTGGTAATTCCACGCATAGGGATTCCACACGTAGTAATTCCACGCGTAATATTTCTACGCGTAGTAATTCCACGCGCCGTTATTCTACGCGTAGTAATTCCACGCGTGGTGATTCTACGCGTAGTAATTCCACACGTGGTAATTCTACGCGTAATAATTCCACGCGTGTTAATTATTCTACGCGTGGTAATTGAATGCGCGGTAATTCCGCGCGTGGTAATTGAATGCGCGGTAATTCTGCGCGTAGGAGTCGGATGCGCAGAATCACTGCGCATGGTAGTCGAATGCGCGGTAATTCTACGGTCGGTAATTTTACTCGTTATAATTCTACGCATAATTGCATAGTAATTCAACACACAGTACGAATACTTCTCCTAAAATTACAACCAACTAATCTGTTTCAGGAACCTCCAACAAACTACACTACAAGAATCCATACACCGAACAATTACCAAAAGCACATTATAAACGAAAGAATTATCAAGGTAAAAAATTATCGACTGCCAGTTATATCCAAGGTACGTGTTATGGTCTTTAATCGAATATGAATAGCCACTGTATCTCTTTTTTTGCAGAGCAACCCTTGTTTTCTATTTACTCCTCAATCTTCATTTTTTCTCTGCTGTCTCGACTGGCAGCAGAGGGTGAGATGGGGTTGAGTCTCGTTACAACAACATGGCCGGTGTGTTAGTGAGGATACATGAAGAAGTAAATAGACAGGTGCTACACACAGTATGTACACAAGGGTATCGTTGGTTAAGGGTCGATGGCGTCGTGGTGAGAGATTCACGGGGGTTGAAGGGGTGGCTAGGTGGTAGGTAGCAATAAGGTGCTGGGCACCGCGCTGTTACGACCCCTGATCTAGTGATGTCATGTATGAGGGAGCTTCCATGCAGAAAATTATACAGAAACGTTGCATTATGTTTCTATTTTGTTAGCACGGTTTTTAATATTTGTTATTGTTTGTTAAACTTAGGAGATAGGATCTTATATAAAATTGTAAAGATCTTATAATTAGGGTTGGTAATTTATTAATCAAAATTATATTAGTCAGGATTAATAATAAATTATAAACTTTCAAGTTGGGGAACTTACACCTCTATAAATTTCAATATTATTAAAACTTTTGGATTTTATTTTTATCACAATTCAAGCTTCCTAATTTTTATACTAAAATTAGGAGCTTTCAAGCTTCACTGTCATTAAAATTCAAGCTTCCAAACCTCAGTATCATCAGAATTTAAGCTTCCAATTATTCCCCAAATTTAAACGCCCGTACTTCAGTACTAGAATCCGAACTTCCAACATTATCAGAATTCAAACCTCCAATGGGGAATAAAACAGGAATGCCAAATTTGTACTTCTCCACTAAATTGAAGTACATAATCAAGTTTCGTGATCTTCTGTAATATTCCATCTTTTTAGACATACATATTTCTAATTATAACTTCTACCCTTAATATAAGATACCCTATACTTAAGATTAAAAATGATTGTTATATTTTATCATTCCTTTGCAACAATTAAATGTTAACAAAATATAATTCTATTTTTTAGGTGACAGTAAGGGTAGGAATTTTGTTCACTAGATGTACATTAAAGGTAAAAAATAATTGTTGTATTTTATTACCTGTTTATAACAATTAAATATTAACAAAATGTACTTCTATATTTCAGGTGACAATAGGGGTAAGAATTATTTTCACCAGATGTACATTAAAGGTAAAAAATAATTATTGTATTTTATCACCTGTTTATAACAATTAAATGTTAACAAAATATACTTCTATATTTCAGGTGACAGTAAAGTTAGAACTTTGTTTTACCAGATGATTGAAAGTAAAAAATGATCATCATATTTTCTCATCCGTTTCTTTGTACAACAATTTTATCACATTTTATTAATTATAACAATTAAGTATTAACAAGATTATCCTCTATTTCAGGTGTCATAAGGGTAGAATTTTCACCAGCTCCAAGGCGTGAAATCTGGAAAGAAGAGTCAGGTGAAAAGAACAGCCGCCGGGGGCCATGATGGCTCTGACCTTTCTCGCTTATCTGCGGGGTGAGAGAGAGATACCGGGTCAATACTTCTCGGGAGGGTTTCCACGAGGAAAGAGGGGATCCACCCCTCGTTTCTCTGCTCGCCGACGATTGGCGGTGGCAGGAGGCTGGGTGGTGGTCCTGCGAGGCTGCAAACAACAGATAGATATTTGATTGTGCGAAACAACTTTCAACCGTTCTTGCCTTTGTATCCAATAAGCCGCTAAATGATATTACACGATCCTTAATTCACTAAAATATTGAAACACCAGAAAACTTTCGTGTCCACGTTTCTCAATATTTTTTATATATAACATTATTAGATTTTTATTTAAAAATTTCCTTTAAACATATCATTTTTTAATGGTAGAAATGTGTAACACCTTTGTACTTCATTTGTGAAACTATATGTAGTTCTCTTATTAATTATTTTGTCAAAAGAGTTAAAGTCAGTCTACAAATTGAGATATCATGTCAAACTTTTGCACTTCATTTGTGAAACTAAATGTAACATTTTTTTAATTATTTTCAGTCAGAAAAGTTAGATGAAGTCACTCTACAAATTAAGATATCAAACAGACAAAATCAATATAAACTGTAACATCTTTAAAAAGATAGTAATATCATTTAGTTAAAAACTTTTTAACAACAAAAGATGACAAAGAATATTTCTACAAATACAGTAAAACATAAGAATTGAAATAATTGCTTAATTGTATATCCTTGAATTATAAAATCAAAGAATGTTAAATGACTGAGAAAGCAGGGAATACAATATTAAATTTAATTCCAATGATTATGATTTATCTTTTCTCGGTTTAGCTCTGTAGCTGGGGAACAACTCACCACACCTCGTTTCAAAGCTCGACGACGATTGGTCCTGGCAGATCCCGAAGGATGGGGATGGAAAAGGTAACAGGGAGATGAAAGCGTGAGGAAACGTTGTGGGGTGTCTTCAAGGGATACTGAGGATGGAAAAAGAAAGCGGCGATAGGAGAAACGAGGACAAAGGATTCGCCCTTGAGATCGGTGGAGGATGAGACGCCTCGTGAAACGCCATCATCAAGCATTCATAAGGTGTAGCAGCCTGTTTATCAGAGGAATACTTTGCAGTAGATTCCTTGGGAATAACTGGCTACTACCGACTCTACGTGCTGGAAATTTTCGAAGAAAAATCTTTCGTTGAATCGCCAACTACTTGTCTTTTAAAGTCTGAACGGTGATTTATGTATTACGTCGTTAAATATGGAACTTTTTAGAGAGGATGTGGACTTTTTTAATTCTTCTTGAAATCATTTATTTCTGATTGATGTTGTAGATGCTTAGATATTAAAATTAATACTTCTGTTTTAAAATTAATACTGCTGTCTCAAAATTAATACAGCTGTCTTAAAATTAATACTGCTGTCTTAAAATTAATACTGCTGTCTTAAAATTAATGAAATTGTTACACAACAATTTTTGTACTTAAGTTTTATAAATGAAGTTACATATTTAGTGACGTAATATGACTTTGAACGAACTCTGTTCACTGATAGAAATTATATTTCAGGGTGAAAAAATGTTTGGCTGTAGATGTCTGGAAAATTGATGGTCCAGGGAGATGACTCTTTTATCCTCTCTTTCAACAACTAATGATGTGGGCTGAACGGTGCCTTCATCCTATAGCATCGCATGAACACGGAGGAATTATCATCATCCATCACAATCAAATCTATATCCTGACACCCTTCGATTTTTCCTAATACGAAAATCCCCGTTGGATTGGACAGAAAATTGCGTTCACAAATGTAGTTAATACTGAATGTATCTATGTAGGTGCCTTTATTTTTAAATTAACCCTTTGTACTTCAGAGATGCCTCTCACTCACCATTTTATTTAATACAATAATTTGATATAAGCATATTTTAACACATGTGATGTAAAAACATAGTAAAACAAACAATAGTGGAAATTATTAATAGAGAAATAATAATCTGAAAAGTATTTATTCAACTTTTATATTAGTAAGTTTTAAAGACTGTTAGGTTAGGTTAGGTTAGGTAGAGAAATAATAACTTGAACAGAATTTATTTAACTTTTATATGAGTAAGTTTTAAAGACAGTTAGGTTAGGTTAGGTTAGGTAGAGAAATAATAACTTAAAAAGAATTTATTCAACTTTTATATTAGTAAGTTTTAAAGACTGTTTGCAAACAGAATTACCTTGCAGTGCAGAAGGTTAATAATGAAATTAAAAAATATGTTCTTCTTCTTAACAAATTATATAATTTAAAATAAGTATACCTTCAGTGTTAACTAGATAATAATACCAGCTTTAACTAGCAAAATAAATTAACGTTGCTAATGATTAAGAATTAAGAATTGCTAACGATTAAGAATTGTTATAGCGTACATAAATGAATAGCGACCTACTATATAATAATTCATGATGATACATATATAATACATGATGATTTAACGCGATAAAGCGCTATAACGCTAATACGTATCGCGTAATTCAGTAACCAAACCATTCCTCAAAAAATAAAAGCGCCATTCGAAAATCGTTCTCGTTGTTTAAATCACCATGTATTTCAAAGCTTTCCACTCGAAACGAGAAAATGGGAGCTCTGGTAGAATGATTAATTCCGCAGATAGACGATGATTTCGATCGATTTTAATTGCGTTTCACTTACAGTGCCGTTCTCGTCACCTATGGTGGGTAATTCGAAATTCCAGCCCGGTATAGAATTGCTGAAACGAATGGCGCAGCATATGTGGATTTAACCCCCTGTTTCGGAGGGCTGTTGTCACCAGCGGTGGCTGTGTCCGTTTTGTCATTGGAATTTGATGATCCACCGTCCCGTGGGGACTGGCTACATAAATATTTGCCTGGTAATCCCTTCATGCACTTGCCTCCTCGACAACGTAATCCCTTTTGTTCTGACTTATACACCCTATCGTTTTATTGCAGGGAGTGATGTAACAAGCTTTGACGAATAAGGAGAATTATCTGATTCAATTATTTCACTGAATTACTATTTAACCATCAAGTAATTAGGGTAAGTCTATAAGCACAAAGTGCAGAGGATTATTACTTAAAAAAAGCATGTGAGTTTACAAATATTTTAGATGTACATAAAGAAGTAGATTGAACTATAATTAACTTTTATAGCACTTTAGAATTTGTAAATAATATACTGATTGTTGCAGGTCAGTCACGTGCTACAAAGATTATAAGCCAAGTTTATGGTCGATTAATTTCATCAACAAGGCTCAACCCTTTTGTCCCCTTGTTCGTGACAGCAGGTATGGATTACACTTCTGGTGATCCCCACAAAATAATAAACAGGATCATTGCCATATGTAAAGGGTGTTATGACCTGATCCCTTGTGAACAGTTTATATCTATCAATTTGTCAATCCAGTAGCATCTAATATTAATTGTATACTCTCCAATTATTATTTTAATTTTAACTACAAAATATTACATATACACACATACATATTATTAATTGTCTAATATGTTACAATTCTGTCTTCTATCTATCAATTTGTCAATCCAGTAGCATCTAATATTAACTGTGATTGTATACTCTTCAATTATTACTTTAATTTTAACTACAAAATGTTACATATGCACACATACATATTATTAATTGTCTAACAATATGTTACAATTCTGTACAGTTGTGCAGCAGAATAGATGGTAGCATATGTCAGTAAATCTCCCAAAGTCATACTAATCCCGTTTAAAGCAATGATCATGTATAATGCAGTGTTCATCTGATGCGACACAGACATGATTAATCGTTTCCATGTTACCCCATCTTCCATTATCACAATTCTCAAAATTTGTTTTTTGGGTCCATCTGCACATTTAAGTGAAACTTGTTTAATACTGGACTTGATTTTGTTGCACATGATTTATTAATACAATTACTTTTAATCTGTTTCAGATGAATACTAAAAGCATTGAATATTAACCAAGGTAAAATTAAACTGTGAATTTTCAAACATCTGCAACAGTGAATAATGCAAGGATTTTATTTCACATTCACAGAAGTATAATTAATAATAAATAAAGGTGCAGTAATTAATAATAAATAAAGATGAAGTAAATAATACTAAAGGTATATTTTAATATATTATTATATTGTTTCAGAAGGAAGTAAATTTGTTTCCGGAAATTGAAGAAACTTCCGAATGTTCAACAAAGGTCGAGGAATTAATTTAATCGTGAGACCGGCACACGACGATACACGTCAAAATGTCGTCGTTATCAACGTCCTGTTCACCTCTCAGCTGACATACCATAAATCGCGCATTGACGTGCACCCGCAAAAAAATCGAACCAGAACGAGAGAGACCAGGACCGTCCTCTCTTGCAATCTCCAGGAAAATGAACGCCATAAATAAGCACGGTCGGCCAATAATTCCGTCGCGATCGAGCAACAAGAGTTTTTCATCGGTGCAGCCAGAAAGGGGTGGTGGACTGGACTGAAAAGTAGTGATGGAACCGATTCGATGGTTCCATTTCATTTCCAATTTCAATCTCATATTTATTTTTCATAAAATTTCTAAACTTCATCTGTACTAAATTCAGCCTTGCATTTTTATTGCGTTCTTATAATTTGTAAGATTTAAAACTTAGTGTTCTAAATTTCTAATCTAGATTTTCTTTCATATTGGATAGTTTCAAAATTGAATACTCTGCAAGTTTGAAACAATCATGTTATTAATTATAAAATATCAACTCATTTATTTATTTGAAGCTTTCTAAATTTTCTGTTACATCACAAAATTAATTGTACAGCGTATGAATTGTAATTTAAAAATTACAGAATAAGTTTGAAATAAGGAAATGTAATTAAGAAGATTCTTTTTTAATATTTGTATATTCTTAGTTGTATGAGAATGTTATAGTGATAGGAAAGAATGTTAGTCCCATCACTAGCTGTAAGGACAAAAGTACAACTGTAACAGTGTCTAAATTTTCAGTTACTTCACAAAATTAATTGTACAGCTAACTACGTCTAAATTGTAATTTAGAATTCATAGAATAAATTTGTAATAAGGAAGTGTAATTAAGAAGATTCTTTTTTAATATTTGTATATTCTTAGTTGTATGAGAATGTTATAGTGATAGGAAAGAATGTTAGTCCCATCACTAGCTGTAAGGACAAAAGTACAACTGTAACAGTGTCTAAATTTTCAGTTACTTCACAAAATTAATTGTACAGCTAACTACGTCTAAATTGTAATTTAGAATTTATAGAATAAATTTGTAATAAGGAAGTGTAATGAACAAGTTTCTTTTTTAATGTTTGTATAGTCTTATTTGTATAAGAATGTTATAGTGATAGGAAAGAATGTTAGTCCCATCACTAGTTGCAAGGGCAAAAGCACGATCGCAGGAGGTGGAGACGCTGCAGGTGGTGTGAGGGTGCTACGACACGTTTTGTAATCAAATCTAAAATTCCCAGCGCGGAGGAACCCGATGAAAGAGTAACCAACGGACACAATCGAATCGGTCTACGTGCTTGTCACCTGACTTCAAATAAGCGACCACTGTCCTCCGTTTCCTACCTAGCGTTATCTATCCACCCTTAACCTCCCCTTCCTTCCGTTCGACCTCAGATTTCCCTTGAGATTAAAAAAACTATCGCAATCCTTTTTCATTGAAAGAGTTAACACTAGACTCGTTGCTGAAAGTTTTAGACAAAAATTTCATGCAATTGCGAATTAGAGAATTATTTTTTTTTTAATTAAGTTTGATTTTGTTAGCTTCATATTTGTTGGAGGGTGAGGAAGTAGTAGTTGTGAATTTGTTTGAATTTTCTGCGTGAGAACAGATGTCGTTTTCGGCTTGGTCGTCACTTTTCTTGACCAAAATCAACGGATGGTAACAGGAGCGCAGGACGAGCGAGGAGGTCGATCGTACACTGTATAGTAAGTTCACTGTCTCGGTCGTAGATGTCGCCGCCATATGCATTTGGCTGAGTTGGACCGAAAGTAAAATTTAGTAACAGGAGCACGTGATATGCAAGGAGGTATGCCACCTCTTCCCAGATACCCAGTTGCCCGCCAAAATTCAATGTTTATAAATTAATTAATAAATTTATTCATTCATGAATTTCATGAACGAAAATAATTTTCTTATATAGTACAAAGTCCACTCTATCAAATTTAATCATAAAAGTTCATAAAAAAATTCTCTATATATTATTTTAAATAATTTTAATCAACCCCATATCGACAGTAGAATGTGTAGGTATCTCTGCATGAAATTCCTTAAATAATACTTAATATTTAAATTTTATTAGTTTTGCATTCATATTTATTAATATTAAAGCTAATTCTATACTAAAAAAATATATAATTATTGATAATTAAATATTTCGAAATTGATGAGTGTTCGGGGTTTCCATCGTAGATGTCGCCGCCATTTGCAATTGGCTGAGTTGGACCAAAAGTAAAATTTAGTATCAGGATCACATGATGTGTAAGGAGGTATGCCACCTCTTCAAAGATACGAACATTCCCGCCAAATATAAAATTAATTTATTCACGACAGAAGTAAATTTCATGAACGAAAATAATTTTATTACATAATATGAAGCTTGAATTATCAAAATAAATTGTGAAAGTTAATAAAAAATACCTCTTATATATTATTTGAAGCAGTTTTAGGTGTCAGCATTGCGATACGTACATGAGCCGCCTACGTCAATTCTACTGCGCATGCAAAGTGCAATATTTCGGCACTTTGACGATGTAGTATGGTTCCTTAGGCATTTAGAAACAAATTTCTATAAGGGTTTGATGCGTTTTGATGCCTAATAAGGCCAGGAAATCAATTTTTGTCGAATTCGGTCCAAAACGGTACAAGTGGCGCCATATAGCGACGAGCGGTGGAACAACGGAAAACTAAAATCTCGATTTTCTCGGAAACTAGGGACTTTTCGGAAATTCTGAGATATACAAATTGTTCCTTGTCGCCTACGGAATCGAACGAATGTAATTATAGCCTGGCTAGGACCATTATTAAAGAAAATAGAAAAATAGCCCATTTCATGGACTAAAAAATTGGCGTCCATCTAGCGGCGAAAGTTGGAACTACAAAAATAGAAAATCTCGATTTTCTCGAAAACTAGCAACTTTTCCGAAATTCTGAGATATACAAATTGTTCCTCATCGCCTACGGAATCGTTAGAATACCATTATAACACGCTAGCACTATTAATAACGAAATTAGAAAAAGGTGTAATTCATGGACTTTTTCCGCTTAGTTCCAACTTTCGCCGCTAGATGGACGGCAATTTTTTAGTCCATGAAATGAGCTATTTTTCTATTTTCCTTAATAATGGTCCTAGCAGGCTATAATTACATTCGTTCGATTCCGTAGGCGACAAGGAGCAATTTGTATATCTCAGAATTCCGGAAAAGTCCCTAGTTTTCGAGAAAATCGAAATTTTAGTTTTCCGTAGTTCCGCCGCTCGCCGCTAGATGGCGCCACTTGTACCGTTTTGGACCGAAGTCGACAAAAATTGATTTCCTGGCCTTATTAGGCATCAAAACGCATCAAACCCTAATAGAAATTTGTTTCTAAATACCTCAGGAACCATACTACGTCGTCAAAGTGCCCAAATATTAATTTTTTATTTTCCTTGATATTTAAAATACTGAGTAGAAATGCAGAGATTGTAGTACATAATACTGAACTTTAACAATATATAGCTATTATAAATTTTACAGAGAAATATTCGAAATTAACAAATATAATTTTATTCATTCTGCAAAATAAATATACATTGATTTAATATTGAAATAGCATAGATATGTACAAAGACTAACTATACCACTAAAAAATCTAAATCATGTATTTGAAAATGCATAAAATTTACACAGCGGAGTATGAAATTCATTTTTATATTTTAAAATATTTGATTTCATACATACACATATACTTAATACAATTTTAAAGTATAAATTTATTTTAGCAAGGACCATTTGAGCTGTTCCTTTGCAGATTGCAATACCTAGAACAAAAATAAAATTTCGTAACACAATTGATTTGATGAATTCGTTAATTCAGCCTTCTAAATCATAAAAACTTACAATCAGAGACTGTGCGAAGAATGTAGAATGATGCATGAACACAAAATAAAAAAATCGAAAAGGTTTCTATGTGATAAATGGACTTTGCTATGCCATTCAATTAATTAAACATGTTATGTCTAATATTGAACATTACCTGTGCAACTGTCTGCTCTCCAAGGGGAATATCATCGGTCCTCAATGCTACTCTCTGGACAACACTTGAAGCATCAGCATCGAGAATAATTCTAAGGAATATTATACCATTATTTTCTGTATTACTATTGTATCAATTTATTTAGTTATTTATATTTACCCTCCATCACAGATCTCATCCATTGCCAGCATGACTATATCCAAGCTATCCAAAACAGCTCTTTTCTCAACATTCTTCCTTAAAATCTGACTTACTGAATCGTATAAACAATTTAATACACTCAGTAGGATAAGCTAAAACAAAAATACAATTCTTTTAAGTAGAAAAATATAACTTGACACCAATGTAATTAAAAATCCATAAATTATAAATACTTCATTTTCATTGGAGCTTCCCATAACATAAAAGAATAAGTCCACATTACTCCTGTAAACGCACGTTAAGCCATCCAACATAACAATCTCTGCATTTGCTCTGTGAGTTTTATTGAAGAGATTTTTCTCAAACGCCTTCTGCTCCTTTGACGTTGGAAATATGTTTTTGTCATAATATTTTGCTAGTATCCTGTTGCCATCATTGTCCAGAATGGCCATTCCTTTGACCGTGTACAACGTTGGTTCCTACAATTACATATCATTCGTATCAACACAAAGTTCGTTAAAATTTCTTTTCCATATATGCACCCATGTAATAAGTTTTTAATAATACGCATGCTACATTGAATTTCGATAGGTTAGAAAACACTCAATCTATTATTGTTTGAGAAACTGATAATAAATGGAAACAAATATGGAAAACAAACTTAAAATCAATTGAAATCATACGCGTTGTTGAAAATCGCGTTCCTGGTCGCTTTGATGCATCAGAGAAAGGTTATGTTGCGCGAGTTTCGATGATCCACCACGATTCATGATTACGATTGCACGAAACAATACTTACATCAAGAATATATTATTAAAAAGTGTACTTTACTGCGAAATCTGAATAAAAAAACGTATGACGGCTATTTAAAAAACCTACCAATAGCTGACCATCCATGTTTACGTCAAACTTGACGCATCAAGATCAAAGGACTACGCGACTCGAGTTGAGATCTTTACGAAAATCAATTAATTCGATAAATCGATACTACAATCGTAGAATTTGTAAATTCAAATTTGCTGTGTGTATCATAGTTCAATACTTTTAAATACCTTTTAGAAATGTATCAATTTATTTTTATAATATTTATTAAATTAAATTACATTATAAATAATATATATATGCTTGAAAAAATATACCCAAATTTAACAATATTAATATATTAAAATTATATACATTCAGCATAAACATATTAAATATAATACTTAAATAATACTATGGCAGTACAAATAAGTTTAGCTCTTCGGTGATTCAGACTTTTCTTTGCTTTTTATTAGTTCCGAATATTTGCGGAAAAATTCAGGTCCATCCCAATGACCGCTGTAAATTAAAAATACATGTATCACACTTCTTTCCCAAAGTCGTAACTTGATTATAATTATGGTAATCTTACCGCAACATTAAATTCCAGTATAATAAAGGAAACGCATATGCTTTGAGTAGAAACGTGAAAAAGTACTCTCGACTTTGATTAACAGGGAACGTCTCCATTGGTTGTAAATTGTAATCAAATTCAGCTAAAATACATTTTCTGTATCCAGTAACCAAAGGACAGGAAGAGTAACCATTATAAGCCATAGTCATTGGTTTACCAGCCATATCATCCATGATATTCTTATACAATACTTTGCCCTGAGCCGCTGAAAAAATATTTCAATAGAAATTTGTTCTCATAAGAACAATGCATTTGTACTGTACCTATAGCTGCCATAGTTTTAGAATTTGGAGTGCTAGTGCAATCTCCAATTCCATATATATTTGAGTATTTCGTATGTCGTAGGGTTTTAGAATCGACGGACAAAAATCCCGCTTCATTTGTTAATGACGGATGTTTTTTCAGAATATCAGGTGCACCCATGGGGGGACATACGTGAAGTAACGAGAACTAGACAAAAATTATTATTAATTAAAGTCTCATATATAACATCTGTACACACGTGTAAATTCGGGTACAACGCCGACGTAACTTTAGGTTAAATTTTTAAATTGAAGACATTTTCCAAAAACAAATGATAGAAGGTTCCCCTACATTTAACCTTAACCAGAGGAAAGTCTACATGGCATCCGACATATTACACAATAATACCTTTTCAACGAAAGTTTCATTTGAACCATCTAATTTCTGAAATACAGCCTCCTGTTTAGTTGGGTCTATTTCAATTAGATTTGTCTGAAGATTCACATTAATGTCCCTTCGTTCGCAAACTTTCCAAAGTGCATCAGCATATTTCTTGACACCAAATATTACTGGTAAAGATGTATTATACACGACTCTTATATTACCACGTACTTTTTTCTGTATAAAAAGTTACCATTAGTACATATATTCATGATAAAAATATGAGTACAAAATGAGATATACCTTACGGAAAAATTCTTCTGCAATATACAAAATTTTCTGTGGTGCTCCAGGACATTTAACTGGACTGTTTGGGAAGGTAAATATTGCATTACCCTCTGTTATTCTTGAAATCTTTGAGTACACATTTGGAACAGTGTCAGCACCATAAATAGAACAAACTTGTGACAGTCCATCTTGAAGACTCTTTACTAAACCTGGTATCTAAAATAAGCATAAAAGATAATTGATATCTATACATCAGTAACAGATATAAAAATTTTGTCCAACCTCACTTTTTCCCAATGTAACTGCAATCCCACTGCTACAATCATAATTTCATATTGCACAGTATCTCCATTACTCATTGTGACTTGATTCTGTTCAGGTTCAAAGCTCATTACATTTTCTTGCAACCATGTAGCATCTTTGGGTAAAACTTCTTTCATTGGTTTCTTTGAAGCATCGAAAGACCTTATATCACCACCAATCAATGTAAACATAGGTTGATAATAGTGTATCTACAATGTTGCTACTATTAAAATAGAAATTTTAATTATGTAGATAGACAACTTACCTGGCTGGGTTCCACTATGATAACTTTTTTAGGATCCTTGAATGTGTTTGCAAATTTTGCTGCCATAGTGCAACCACCAGTTCCACCTCCAACTACCAATACTTTACATCTGTAATGTTGAATCATTAACACAAATATATTCACAAAGTAGTGTAATATTACTTACGAATAATGATGACTTCTGTACACGTTTTTGATTAGTGTGCCTCTCTTAAAGGACTCAAAATTGCATTCACTTAGGCAAGACAGAATAGGACGGAGACTTTTAGAGTAATTCATTTTTAAAATCTGCTGAAATAAAACAAGTATTTCTAAGTTATGATACAATTCATTTAAACTATAAATACTGATCAAGACTTTAACAAGAAGTTCTTGTTATATTATTTAAATAAGTATGAAGAGACAAATATACCCTGAAAGATATGCTTCTATATTTGAAATATGGTAATAATAATTATCGACAAGATGTGATAAAGTCTCACCCGATTGTGCAAGTGTCAATTGCAAGTTAATACCAAAAGGATTAAAATTGCCAATATCAGTTCTGAAGTGTTCTGCCAAAATTTCTTGCAAATATGCTTTAATTCTTCGTTTATCTAATCAAGAATAACTGTTACGTAGCTGCAACGCTCTACAAGTCGGCTTTCTCGTGTCGTATCTCAAGAGGTTTACTCCGCACGTAGACCTACGTTTATAAACTTTTGCGTGCGCATGCGCAAATTTAAATTTCGAAGAGAAAGTTCTTTTTTATTCTGTTAATAAAGTTAGACGTCTACTAATATTTTTAATATTATTAAAAATTATTTTTACTTCTAAATTTTGAATAAACAATTTTTTTCGAAAAAGTACTGACGTTAAAATTAATGGAAGAGAGGAATGAATTAAACTCGTGAAAGTTTCTTTTAGTCATTCTTTTGCTTCTCTCTTTATTGAGGATAACTTTTTTTTTAAACGCCGCCTGAAACTAGGCAAGCTCAGCTTGAGTCCCAAAAATCATCAATCCTGAAAGCGGAAAAAAAAACTTGAATTTTCTAAAAAAGAAACAGCGTGAAAGTACAATCTCGTAAAATTAACAATTGCACTCGTAATTGAAACGTCGTAAAATGAGATCTACTTCCGGTAGATAAAAGTAATCGTATTGAAACGTAATATGAAACGAGAAGCGGTCAGTTTCGAACCGAATATAACTTATCGAGCGGACATTGAAAAATTCTCGACAAGAAAACAATTTATAAAATTTCTTTCGCAGGATTGAGGACTTCCGGGATGAGCGTGTATCCACGATACGCAGACATGCGCGTGAAATACAAATGCACGACTTGCAAACGATAATAATAATAAGTATACACTCTCCACGAATCGTCGTTTCTGTTTAAGTCCTTAAGAATAAATTTATTTACATCGCGGACACGATTCCTTCGCTCTTGAGAAAGAAAAAAAAAAAGAAAAAATCCCCGACTCGATCGAATTCGTGTGCATTTCTCGAAGAACGAAACGGAAGCTTTCTCTCCAAACGTTTTTGTTTCTTTCTCTAAATATTACTATAACAACTTTTTTTCGATCCGTTTCGATCTTCGAAACAAATTTTTTAATAATACACTCCGTGTCGCTGAATTGGTGAACAATGTAACGGTCATTACAAATACACACATTATTCGAAAACAATTAGCAATAAACGTCGCTTGTACCACACAGCCAAGAGAACGGAAAAAAACTAGAGGCGGGAAATTTGAAGGAAGAAATGCTTGAGGCTCGTTTCCGAGATTTAGTGGAATCGTAAAATTGATCTTCTTCTACAAAAATGAATCTTTTACAAAAATTGATATTTTACAAATTAATAAATTGATAAATTTGCTAATGAATTTGAGATAGAAATAATTATTTTGATCTGATTTACGAATCCACGTGACTATGTCTAAGAAGTTTCGATGGCTCTCGGCTACGGGACAATACGAAAATACATGTAGTCAGCGTGATAAAATAGGCTCGTCGATCTATCCAGCTATCGTAGTAAGAATAAAAAATATTCCTTGCAATATCGTTCGAACGACGAGCGTAACGATTATTTTATCGCGCCGAGAAAGCTTCGGAACATTTATTGCTAACACACCTTTTCCTTCGTTGAACGCGTCGCAAAAGGCATTTGACAATTCACGATTCTAAAGTTACAATTCGATCGGCTTATCGTTAATCAATAAATACAATTTCCTCGTGCACTTCGAACTTGGTGCGCAACCACGATATGCACAGACAGAAAGAACGACGGAGGCTAATTTTTCGAAAGGTTTCTCCTCGTTTCTTGTTGTTATTTAGAATTATTATTCAATGTTATCGATATTAAATGTTAATGTTAATAATTATGTAACGAGAGCACGTTTACTTTACGCTCGGTACGAAACATGCGTGAAAACCGGTGATAACATTTTTCGATACAGTACGCACGGCCGTTCGCGGTATTCCTCTTAAAAAATAATACCTACTGGAGGATAGAATCGAGTATTTAAACTTGCGTTCGCTAAATATATGCAAGTCTCGTGGTACTTCGAAGACATTTTTAAAATACAATAACGTAGTAGTCTCGTCATTTAATTGCCGCGTTACGACAACTTGTACCATCGTGTTTTTTGTATTTTCCATTTTGTTCTCTATGATAGATAAATCATTACGTGTGGTGTGAACGTGTCCGAGTGTGTGTGTTCGTGTGTGCAATGTCGAGTCATTTCATTTGGTTTATTTTGGCATACAAAATAATTTTATTTACAGTCTGACGATAATATTATTAATTATTTACCTATAGTCCTTTAATGCTAAAGTGGCGGATAATATAGTTTCGGTTACGTACTATATTATGCGGTCTTCGGCTATTTACATAACAAAAACGGCACGAATAAATATATCATTGGACAATGGACCAAGTTTTTCGGTGTGCATTGTTTTCGAACGATTCGTTGGTTAGTGACAATTCTGGAGGAAATCGAGTCTTCAATAATATGCTAGTAACTACTTTCGTGGTCAACATTTATGTACATCGAACGGAGAAATTTTTTCACCCCTTTCTTCAAACAGAATTTGTATAAACAACGTGAAGAATATTACAACTTTTAAAATTTAAAATGCAACGTTTTACATTCCTTGTAATAAGAAATAACATAAAATAGAATCTCTAATTTACATTCTTTCTTATTTCAGATTTTAACGTAAAAACCATTTAATATTCTACACTGTGTTTACACTTATTCTTTACAATTTAAACCTAAACTTTAAACCTTCATACGCTAAATCAAAATCTCGTTAAATGCATGATGAATGTAAACAGCAAACGGCTGGTTAAAAATGAACAAAAAAGAGACATTCTATAGAACATCATAATTCACTGAACGTAAAGAAAGCTTAAACGCTATGACACCCCGATTTGCTTGGGAACGTCCCTATCTAACGAATCAGTCGATGATGAACTTAATGTAGCCGCAAAATCGCGGCTTCAGTAAAAAATAGAACGTGGCAGTTGAACGGAACAATAGAAAGAAGAGTGTGTGTAGCCCTCTAGGTAAAATGAAGTTCTCGCGTTTCAATAGCGAGTGTACTTTCAACGATTCTATAAAAGAGACAATTTAGAGAACATCTCATAAAATTAGAAGTTTGGAAGAGCCTGAGGACTACGGTGATATGAAACGTATTCTTTCAAGTATTCGCAGCTGTGAGAGAATTCGTCTCGTATCTTACAATGTGTGATGGTGTACTGTTAGGTGCGACGTAGGCTTACTTTTGTTTGGGGAGAAGAGTCTAGGTTTACTGCAGATTTTTCTTTTTCTGCTTTGAATAAAAACTCACTGAATAAATTTGAGGATCTGATAATTCACAAATATGTGGATTTTTGTTTATAATTTTCTCCCTTGGTCAAGTTTGAGAACTCTCCCTTGATAAATTTAAGAACTCCAGAAATTAAAAATATTTGGGAGTTACTAATATGACAATTTAGAAATATGTAGATTTTTGTTTTTAATTTTCTCCCTTGGTCAAGTTTGAGAACTCTCCCTTGATAAATCTGACAATTGCAGGAATTAGAAATATTTGAGAGTTACAAATCTGATAACTCAATAATATGTAGTTTCCCTTTCTAATTTTTTCCCTTGGATAAATTTGAGAACTCTCCCTTGATAAATCTGACAATTCCACTAATTAGAAATATTTCAGAGTTACAAATCTGACAACTTAGTAATAAGTAGATTTCCCTTTTTAATTTTGTTCCCTGGATAAATTTGAGAACTCTCCCTTGATAAATCTGACAATTCCACTAATTAGAAATATTTCAGAGTTACAAATCTGACAACTTAGTAATAAGTAGATTTCCCTTTTTAATTTTGTTCCCTGGATAAATTTGAGAACTCTCCCTTGATAAATCTGACAATTCCACTAATTAGAAATATTTGAGAGTTACAAATCTGATAACTCAATAATATGTAGTTTCCCTTTCTAATTTTTTCCCTTGGATAAATTTGAGAACTCTCCCTTGATAAATCTGACAATTCCACTAATTAGAAATATGTGAGAGTTACAAATCTGACAACTCAGTAATATATAGATTTCCCTTTTCAATTTTGTTCCCTGGATAAATTTGAGAACTCTCCCTTGATAAATCTGACAATTCCACTAATTAAAAATATTTGAGAGTTACAAATCTGACAACTCAATAATAATTAGATTTCTCTTTTCAATTTCTTCCCTTGGATAAATTTGAGAACTCTCCCTTGACAAATCTGACAATTCCACTAATTAGAAATATTTGAGAGTTACAAATCTCACAACTCAGTAATAAGTAGATTTCCCTTTTCAATTTCTTCCCTTGGATAAATTTGAGAACTCTCCCTTGACAAATCTAACAATTCCACTAATTAAAAATATTTGTGAGTTACAAATCTGCCAATTTAAAAATATGAAACATAAAAACTTGAAACTTGATAATTTGTTCCACTCCTAGACTCCCCACACATTCTCCATAAAAACCAAAAAATAATGCTACCCTATTAACTAGCAAGCCTACAGTCGCCTCCTAACATACAAACTAACAAAAATCAGTCACGTAATCCAATGACCCGGGACGAAGTGAAATTTTCTTTCTTAACTAACCGTGTACCTAATTTGACCTGAGTAAGAACATTATTTCCTTCATTTTTCTCGCGTTCTACTCGAAAGCATTCTAATCGCTCTTGTTGAATTACGTTAAAACTTTGGCCAACGTAAAAGGCGGTCAGCAAGCTTCGCGTCTTCCTGAATCGATCTTCGATACA